TTGTCCTTGTTTATCAAAAATCTCTTTCTCCAAAAAGGATGTCCTAAACTTTTCAATTTTTCTCTTCCCTGTTTTATTAAATAAATTGTCCAATTTTCAAAAAAAATCATTGTTGGATTTTCAAGAGTTGGTTTATTATGAAAATAGTCTACAATTTTTTGTTATGTGCCAATATATATTTATATATATATAATATATATATATATATATATATTTTTATACAAGAAGGTCAATTGCCTGTTCTAAAATCCTCCTTTTATATAGTAATATATAATTATATTAAAATTGAAACAACTAAAATTTTTCTTTTGCATTGTAAAGTTATTCTACAAAAAGACTATTTTTTGGTGGTGGACTGAACAAATTGTTTGTTATTTGCATGTGTTTTAGAGAAATTGAAGACCCTAGGGACAGCAAACAAATGTATTTTCAAATTTATTTTTAAAAATAGATGGTCTACAATGCTTTTTTTTTTGAGATAAAAAAAAAAAAAAATTATTAATTCTTTTTCCAAATTGTGAAAAATCTTCACCCATTTTTCCTTAAACTTGTTGATTTTAAATACTGGAAAATGATAAAATCCACATTATTATACAAGAACTAATATAAATATTTTTAAAAAATTTTTAAAATAAACCCATTAATGTGGGAATGGGAAGTTTTAAAATGGGACCATTTATTATTGAAAAGTTGAAAATTTTAAACAATTTGATTTATTGTGTGTAATTTCATATTTGTTCAAATGACCATTTTGTTTTTTTATTAAAATATAAACTTTGATTCATATAAAAATTAAGTTCATACTTATAGAAACATAATCTTTTCCTTTTTTTTTTTTTTTAAAATTTTGGGTACTTTCTAAAATTGATTTTTTTTTATTTAGTATATTCCATATGGTTTCATTTATAATTATACATTTTTTGTTTCTTTTTTTCCTCCAAATCATAAATGACTGAAAATTGAAAGTTTTTTAATTTGATTTACTTCAATTTTTCAAATTCTGCTTTGATAATAACACCTGCATGAATACACATTGTACGTCAATATGTTTTAGTTGATGTATTTTTGTTTGAATTGAATTTATGGTTTTAAAAAAAATTCAACATTTGTGAAACAAATGTAAATTTTTTACAATTGTTTCTATTTAATTTAAAATACCATTTTTAATTTTTTTTTTGCTTTTTGTTTTGTTTTTTGTTTTTTGTTTTTTTTTCATGCTACTAACGCATAATGTTCTGGAGAAAGATATATTTTGTATATTATTTATCAGAGATAATTTAAAATTTAATTTGTTATTTCTTTGGCTGCTTGAAAAAAAAATCATTTGGAAATATTTTCTTGGGGGGGATTGTCAGGTGTTTGATTACCATAACAAGAACATTTTTATGAACTGTAACAATAATATTAATAAATATAAATTGTCTGCAGCATGGGTTTAACATTAATATATATGAAATTTTCAAAATCCTTTTTAGCATTTTTTTTTCCCAATTTTGAATGGGGTTAAACTTGCTTAGATGTGTCTAGTAATATTAGGATGTGCATTGTGGCATGAACCTATTAATGGCTCAGTAAAACTAAAATTGTATATATACACACACACACACACACACACATACATTCAATTTAATTTTTGGTTGTTTTATTTCCTTGGGAAAGGTTTGAAATAATTCATCCATTTTATTTTTACAGTGTTTGATTTTTCTATTCTAAAAATCACAAAGATGTCAGGAGGTTTGGCAGGATTGAAACTGCCTCTTAATTTCTAAAGAAACCAGTGTTTCATCTGACCTGGAGTTCATCATATGACAATAAGATTGTCCCAGTGCAGCAAAAAAATTTTCTCTTTAAACTTTAAAGTTTGTTATGAAAATTTAAAATTAGTTTCTTTTTTAAAAGAAATATTTTGTAAAAAAATATCCTGACAGAAAAACAAAAATTTTTTTTTTTTTTTTTAAAAACACAAAAATAGTTCATAATTTTTGCCCATATTAAAAATAAAAATTTGTGCGGCATTAAATATATAGAAGTTTACATTATAAGAACAAATTCATAAATGTTAGATTAAAAAATAAGTCTCATTTTTTTCATATATATATATAAATAGCAAAAAAGACTGGTCTACATTCTTCCAGTTGATTAACAAACTTTTTTTTTTTTTAACAATTCTTTAATTCATTTTGTTTTTTTTTCTGAGAAAGTCCACAATCAAGAAATGTCGCAAAAATAATACAGTTTTTTATTTGTCATTTTTATTTAATATATAATATTGCCTCACAGCTGTTTAAAACCCTTGTTTTTGTCATATAGGAAAATCCAACATGGCATGTAAACAAAATATTTGGCAAAAAATCTCATTTGTCAGTAACATTTTAAACACCTCATAGAATGTAAAGTTCTTAAAGAAAACCTATGCCAAACTGTTTTCCTGAATCCTTGATGACTTGGCTGTCCGAAAATGACAACATCAAGATGAAATAATGGAAACTGACCGTGAAAAAATACAATTATGTGCAACAGTTTTTTCGATCAATTAGTAAACTTCTGGACCTTTTTAGGGCGACTTTATAGGATCCAGACGGCTATTGTTTGCACATGGAATTATTCACTGGTAATTAATCTTTGATTTGGCTGTGGAAAATGTCACTCAGCAGTTAGCATTTAAGAAATTATGCCCAACTTTCTGAGAAAAATCACCATTTTTTTTTTGTGTTTTTTTTTTTTTTTTTTATGAAAAAATATTTATTTTCGCTTCAAAATAATATCATTCAAACTTCATGCCTTTCTCTTTCATTTGGCATGAACATCATTGAATAAGAGGAACGGCTAAATAGCAATGGGAAATACGAAAGATATGCAACAAAAAAAAACAATGTCGTCTGCTAAGTGTTGTTGTCACCACCCGGGTCATGGGGTGTTAAAAACAAAACAAAATACCTCAAGCTATTGTTCAAACATAGGTTATATCAAGCCCTACTAATGTTGACCCCCTTTTTTTTTTCTTTTTTCTTTTTTTCCCACTCTTTGCTCTTATCTGGGAGTGGTGGGTTTTATTACAACTTGTTCTAAACATTTATTGCTGGCTGACCTTTGACCCAGTGATGTCAAAGTCAATTTGGTTTAATTTTCCTTATCACTGCTATTTTTTTGGCAAAAAAAAAGCTTTTGGTTTCTGGTGATCAGGAATTGCAGATAAATCTTTCGCCTTTTACTAAAGATTTCTGTGGCCAGGTCTCAATTTTTTTTTAACCCTTGGCAGTCATATAATTGAAAATTACCAATGGACTTTGTTGCATTTTGACCCCCTGGGAATGTTGATTTCCTTCAAAACTCAATTTTATACCTGAAATAGTTTGATTATGATTTAGGCTTTCTGATTTTCAAAAAAAAAAAAAAAAAAAAAAGTTAATTTCCCATTAATGGGGGAAAATTTTTGTTTAGAACTAAGAAAAAAATGCAAAATTTTCACTATTTTTTCACATTTTACCCACTGAAAAAAATTTGAGTCATTTACACCAGCTGATTTTACTTTTAAATGAAAGAATATATCCTTTGCTTTCAGAAAATACCTAGTTTCATGGGGTTCAGATCAAAAGTTTCCTTGATATTAGTTTAGGTGATGATAAAACAGCCATTTTTCAATATTTTACCCTTATAAAAGTATGAAAATCCATTTTTGAGAGAAAATAAGCTGTGACAAAATGATTTTGCCATTTTTGCTGTTTTTACATAGAAAAAATTTTACCATAGCAAACCTGAATTGATTTTATTTAAGTTCAGTGGGGCTATAGGAAACCTCAAACAGCTGTGACCTCCAGAATCACTTTATCTTACAAAATGAAGGTTGGGAGTAAAATTTCCAGTGGATCCTGCAATAACCTCTAGAAAATATCCCTCGATATATATTTTTTTTTTTTTTTTTTTTTTTTCAGCATTTTTAATTCTAATGTCATGTCCCTTCAGTATGTAGGCAATCATGGCTTTCTGCAGATTCCTTTTTCATTATTATCTGTGAATTGCTATGCATTCTTGGGAAAGATAGTGAAGTGGTTTTCCAGTTGCCTACTTCGCAATTTAAATTCAGTTTTCCTTCTCTTAGACTGGTTGTCATCCAAGGCTAAAAAGTCCAGCCTACCCTGCTATTTAACTCCAGTTAGAGGGGATGAAGAGATATTCATGCCTTTCTTAAGGGCATTAGTACAAAAGTGAACACAACTAGCTCGAAATTTGAACTCTGCTGATTCCACTTTCTGTACCAGTATCCATTATGCTACCAGCACATCCAGCTTATTTTATGTCAACTTTAGATGCTGTAAAAATCTAAGTAGTTAAATTTAAAAATGTAGTTCTTTAATCACATTAAATAAAGTTTTAGATAATTGTGCATTTAAAGAATCTCATAAGTTACATTTGCATGCACAAAAAGTTTTAAAATAAAACTGGCTTGACTACCATTTACCAGATACAGTACTGTCAGAAGACAACTTGAATGAAACATTTAACTAAACAGAATAAACTTAATTAGCCTAAATAATGATGCCATCTCATCACATTATTTTGACAAGTACATCTCTGGCTCCTTTGATCAATTGAATCACCAATAATTGAACAATTGTCACTATTTTTACCTACTTCTAATTGTAATTAGGATGAATATAATTTCATATTGAAGGCAGATCTGACACTAATAGAGGAGGTTATCTTATTTAAATTATAAGTTGTTATTCTCAGGCTTTCTTTGAGTTCATTCTTTGCCACCATAATTATCAGTACTGCATATGTGTTTATTATTCCATTTAGTCAACTAAATATGTTAAATAGCAGAATAGACTGGGCCCTATAGCCTTAGTTGGCAACCAGTCTACCACAAAAAGAAATGGCCACCTACAGTGGGGTAAATCTTCTGCCTAGTCAGTCGTGAATCAATCACATTTGCCCCAAGAAAATGAAACCTCCGATAATTCATCTAGGCTATAAACTCTTTGTTTCTCTCATTTTAGTTTTTGAAGTGAACAACATCCTTGGTTTGGAGCGCACTGTAGCTGGTCTTTGGCGAATGGGTGGTGTAACTGTTGAATGTAAACCTTTGCTGACATTTGATTCAGTGGCACAATTCCTTGGTGTTGACTCTACACTGGTGGCACCATCAACAACGCCTCTTCAATCAATGGAGAAGAGTCTCTATTGGTTAGAATGTGAAGCTCATCCAGTATGTAAGTATTAAAAAAAAAAAAAATTTTTTTTCTTTTTATTATTATGAAATCTATTCTTAATAGATATCCTCACAAAAATTTGCAAGATTTGATATACATTACTAAAATTAACATTTAAATTTAAAAAAAAAAAAATGGTTGAGAGGCAGTTTTCATAAACTTTGAAGATTTGGAAAATAATCAGATATGAAACTTTTCATCTGTAGAAACCAAATTAAGTTTAATTTAAAAAAAAAAATCTTTAAAAAATGTAATTCTGAAAAATAGTAAGTGAAAATTTTACAAGTCCACATTTTAAAAGTCTATAAACATTCAAGTAATTATTGAAAACTAAAGTTTTCTATACTTATTGTAAGAGTAGATAACAATTGGTGCCATTTAAAATTTTCAAATGATAAACATGCGCTAAAACAGGACCAGTTGTCATAATGTAGGAGTATGCAATCCAATTTATTGATCAGCAGTTCAATTCCATTATCTGAGCTCATCTCCTGCACAGTTAACTCAGATATGGGCAATCTGGCTCTGCCGTTCTCTGCTAAATTCAAGTGTACAACAATAGCTTATTTACTTTTTAACAAGTCTGTAGAGAAAGTCCACAGTTCCAAATCCTTTTTCCAAGTCTCTAAATCTGTTGTGCACTCATCAAACTCTAGAGGAATTTTCAGGCTACATTTGGTTGTCATAACTATGCTCTTTGTAAGAGCAGATACAAAATCTAAAAGAAAGGAATAACGGCAGCAAATTCTTGTTCAAAGTTTATAAGGCTTCACCAGGCACCTGATACAAATAAACTTGACAAAGGAGAAATTGGCAGAGCTTAAATACAGCTTCAGAATTAAACCACTTTTAATCAGCAGGGATGTCTGCTGCTGATTTAAATGCAATTAGCTTCTATGCAGATCTAACACTTGTTGCTGAGAGTGTGTTTTTTTGGGGGGAGGGGGTTAATGTAAAATTATATTCAATAATTAATGTTTTAAATGGAGAATAAAAAATCTGATTTGTATGTCCTTTCAGGAGTCTTAACTTTTTTTTGTGCATGCATTCATGATCCGCCTCAGATTCTTGTGAATTGTCATAGAAATGAAAATGGGGAGGTTTCCTCCATTGTCCTTTGAGACTGCTTGCCACTCAAGGCTAGAGATGCCAGTTTACTGTTACTTAACTCATAGATGGGGGGGAAGATTGATTCATGCCTTTCCCAAGGGTGTGAATGCAACAGACTGAGAATTGAACTCAGCTTCCACGTTGATAACTGTTATGCTACCTGCACATCAGAGTAGAAATTATAGTCAAAATTAGAAAAAAATGCATACAAACTAAACTTTCTTCTTCTCCCCTCGTGCAATAAACCATAATATATTCATGACTGTAATTTGTTATAAAATTAGAATGTAGTCATAGCTGGCTTAACTTCTCTTTTCTGTGTCTCTCTCTCTCTTTTCTGTGTCTCTCTCTCTCTTTTCTGTGTCTCTCTCTCTCTCTCTTTTCTGTGTCTCTCTCTCTCTCTCTTTTCTGTGTCTCTCTCTCTCTCTCTTTTGTGTGTGTCTCTCTCTCTCTCTCTTTTCTGTGTGTCTCTCTCTCTCTCTTTTCTGTGTCTCTCTCTCTCTCTCTCTTTTCTGTGTCTCTCTCTCTCTCTCTCTTTTCTGTGTGTGTGTCTCTCTCTCTCTCTCTTTTCTGTGTCTCTCTCTCTTTTCTGTGTGTCTCTCTCTTTTCTGTCTCTCTCTTTTCTGTCTCTCTCTTTTCTGTGTCTCTCTCTCTTTTCTGTCTCTCTCTCTTTTCTGTCTCTCTCTCTTTTCTGTCTCTCTCTCTTTCTGTCTCTCTCTCTTTCTGTCTCTCTCTCTTTTCTGTCTCTCTCTCTCTTTCTCTCTCTCTCTCTTTTCTGTCTCTCTCTCTCTCTCTTTTTTCTGTCTCTCTCTCTCTCTCTCTTTTCTGTCTCTCTCTCTCTCTCTCTCTCTTCTCTGTCTCTCTCTCTCTCTCGTCTCTCTTCGTTTTCTTTTGTTTTTTTTTTGCTCTCTCTCCTGTTTTTTTTTTTTTTTTTTTTTTTTTCATACTTTTAAGTTAATGTTTCCCATATTTTACATTACAATTTTAAAAACTGTGTTTGGCTTATCTAATGACACTTTGCAAATTACTTGATAATGGTCCAATTAACATTTTATATATTGTACATTATTTCTATTTTTTAATGTTTGTGCAATTTCTCTTCATTCAGCTGAAAATGTAAATGAGAGTCTTGAAAAGTGGAAAGAAGGAGCTACTGTTGTATTACGTTACCGTGCTCAACAACCCGCAGTTGAATTGGATGTTTATAAAGTTGTTGCTGAACAAAAGGTATGATGTGTATTGATGATGATGATACAATTTTAAGTTATGTGAAGATGAGGTTTACATATCATAAGCTGATAAACATTTTTCATACTTGATTTCAAATTGATTCTATTAATTTTACTTGGGTTGGGCTTTCTTCTGTTTATTTGGCTTACAATTACAATAATTGGACCAAATGTTATGGCTGCAGACAGTGGTGCATCTTTTTTTCTTTCTTTTTTTTTTTACAATGACATTCACCATGTACTAGGTCCAACAGCCACTGGGGTAGTGAGTTATGTAAGGGAAAGACTTTAGAAGTAACCAGAAACTCAATCCTAAACAGGAAACCTGAGACAAACCACTACTCCTTTTCAAAAGACTGAGGAGTGTGAACCTATGAAATTAATGAAGCTCCAGCTGTGGTCTTGAATGGCTCCATATAATAATCTTGAAAGTTTTAACTTCAATAATTCTTTATCTACAATTTTATGGTATTTTTAAGATTCCCATAGAAATGTTTTCAGTCAACCTTGCTTTAAAAAAAAAAAAATCTTGAATAATACTTATACCAAAACCCTTGTAAGAAGTACAAGGGGGAATATATATAATCTCCATCCAATCTCTAAGTATAGGATTGGTGTATACTGAATAAATTCCAATAACCAAAAATACTTTTCTTAAAAGAGTGCTCAATACAGAGTAGAGCAAATATAATTTATTTGAAAATTATAACATAAATATGTTATAAATTCACTACAAAAACAGCATTTTGTTTCAGCACTTCTGGTGTCTTATACATTCAACACTATCACTTGATAAGATACCAGAAGTGTTGGAACAAAATGGCTATTTTGTAGTGATTTCAAACATATTTATATTATAATTTTCTTTATATATGAGAGAAGTGTATTTTGACATCAATTCTGTTTCCTATATTTTGGTTTTCAGTGAAAGTTTAAAGATAAATTGTTGAATGTCTAGGTACTTTTGGCTTTTGTAAGCTGTTATAAGAGATTTTTCTTTTTTGTGCTATATGAGTTTCATTGTTTTTTTCCCATATCAAACAGTGAACAATTTATATTTGAGCTTTCACCAGGAAACAAATGGTGTCAAATATAAGGGGAAAAAATAAACAAATCCTTAACAAAACTTTCATTGGTCTTTAACCAGACTTCTATATAAACATAATAATTCAAGTTAATTGGCATAGGCAGAAAGGAAGAATTTAGTTTCGATTTAAGTGATTGTTGTACTTACCCAGACCAACATATAAACAATTTAAATGTGTGCTTATTTTAGTTTTAATATCAACTATGTAGGGAACTTGAAATGAATTTCTCTAATGATAAAAAAAAGAATCATTTTACTATTTAAACCAAAGCAAATTCAATACATAGTTTAGACAAAAAATATTTCAAAACATTAAATTTATTTAAATAAATTTAATGTTTTTAAAGGTTTTATGACAATTTAATGACAACATTGATCTCTCTTGCAGTTTTTAATCTTCAATAACATTTTAAAAATTTGAATTCTCTGCTATGGTTATATGCAAAGTCAGTGCAGATATTAGGTAAAAATTTGTTACCTTCATTATGTTCTTGTATAAGATAATATAATCCTTTTTATACATTTTATTGCTTCTTGATGGCAAACAATGAAATATAAGCATTTGAATTTTACATCCTCTAAATGATAAATGTAACTTCATGTATGCTCAAAAATATTACTCAACAGAGAGCAGATATAGCCTGATTAAGCAATGAATGAATTGGTGAATTGACCCAGAAAATCAATTTGGTTTGTTCACATTGGTCCAATTAAACGGCTTGATTGGTGGCCCAATTAAGCAAAGGAAATTATTACAACAAATATATTTGATTTTTTTTTTGTGCTTCAAGATTTGGTTCAAATAGATGTGCTTTTCTGACTTTAAATAACCTGCAAAGGGTTGAAGTTTTGTGTATAATTGAGGACGTTGGGAAGTTCTTGGCTCAACCCACTCCCTAAAAGCAATATTCTGATGTTTGGTCATTGAAATACTGATTTTAGGAAGTGGGTCAAGCAGAAAACTTTTCAGATCTGTTCTGTCAATCAGTAATACTTCCATTAATTCTGGATAACAACCTCCATTTTCAATGCTAACATTTGCTGGAAGAAAAAAGCTCCCTCCCCTTTTTTTTTTTTTTACTCAAAATATTTTGAATTTACCATTGCTTGTGCAGCAAATGGTTTGAGCTGTGGAAAAGATTTTCTTCTATGTTCCAGCTGAGATCTTTATTTAAACTGCATTCAGATTTTTTTTTTTTTAAACTTGGTCATTATTTCTTTTCTCCACTTCCAGATCTTGCCACTCAAATAAATGGGAGTATCTATTTAAAAATCTTGGTACTCCTTTCCTGTTTAACTGAGTTTTAAGAGTGTCAGTCTAATGATTGGGGTGAATGAAATTTTCTGCACATGTTTAATAAACCCTACTTGTGATATCATGGGTTACATAAAATGTTTGGGATGATAGTCTTTCATTTTGAGAAGACCTCATTCTTTCTAAGAGATTTTGTTTTCACATGTTCCCATAATATTTTGGCTGGTCAATTTGACAGTGTTTTTTCAGGGGTTCTATTTGTAAATGTAAGTAGAAAAGAACTGACCTTATAGACTTAAATAATATAGAAAGGCCATATCTCAGGACAAGTGTGAAAATCTGGAAGGGGTGGACATTACCCTTTCTAAGATGAAGTTCAAATTATTAAACTGAGAATGTTGATGGAGAATGAGAAAAATCTTGACAATATGCTGGAGTCAGACTGGTGTGGATTTCAGCACAGCATTGCTTAAAAGGAAGATCAAATAGCAAACCCATTTGTTAAAGGCATTGATACAAATTGTGGAACTGCAAATCACCATCATGAATCTTTGGGTTATAGAAGCATCACATGCCCTGCAGTCACAGTAGCAGTGGTGTTTCTTAGGCAAGATAGCCTGATGAAGCCCAACCATCTCCAGGCTGGTTTGAATTCTTCTAGACTAATTTCCAAACAAGGCTATAGGATCCAGTCTGTTTGTAAGCATGTCAAAGTAATGGATAGTAGCATTGATTGAGGAATTGGAGAGTTGAGTTCATTACATTCACTTGCATGCTAATACCCTTAGGAAAAGTATGGATCCATCTCTTCTCCTCACACCCAGCTTTGGATTTGCAAATAGAATAGAATTTTATTATGAATTTTTATTTACTACTGTCCTTTGCTTTGCCCTACACTCATTTCATTTGGGTAATGGAACAGTGGTAGAATGTTGAAGAAATCTGCCAAAATGTTGCAGAAATAACAAAAAGAAAAGAGTTCAGTTGTCCAAAAGGTGTTTTAATAGACTCATATCATCAAAAAATTACAGCAGTATTTAATTTGTAATTTCATTGACTACAAGTGTTACAAAGGACATGAAAATTGTAGAAGGCCATAATCACCCATGTCCTGAAGGAACACAACACAGATTACTCATGTGGAAACTATTCTAAGATTTTGTCGACAAAATTACCTCTATTGTTGCATGTAAGAAAATTCTTTTTAAATCAAAAAAAAAAAATGTAAAAAACATAAAATAAAGCTAACGCAGCATGAAAGAAATAAACATTAACCTTTTCATTACAAAGTGTTCCATTATAGTCACATTTGGTGGGTTTGTTTATTAGTGTTGTGTAGTGTCACTTTTTACCATAGCAACACAATATATTAGTAAGTAGGAGAGATCATGTTGTATGGCCAGTATATATTAGGTTGAGGCATAATTTCTGTTTTCATTTATCAACTTTATTCTTCAAAGACCATTACATTTTATTCAATCCTATAGAACACTATTATTACAATGTTACATTTGGCCAAACTTATGGACACATTGCAGCTGCTGGACATATAGATATGCATTTAGTGTTTCATTGTGTTTTAAGAACTAGATGAATAATACCCTGACACCCCCCCACACACACACAGCATTACCTTTTTTCCTTGGAGCTCAGCTTCTCTTGTCAGTTACATAGATTTATCTATGTCAATCTGTTGTCTTTTGCATTGAATATTGTTGTATGTTAATGTACTCCAAATTTAGTAGTTAGAGTAATTCAGTCTAATATATATATAATTCAATTTTTTATATTGTAGAATATTTACCTCCTTATTTTTTATATATATATATATATATATATATATATATATATATATATATATAATGAGTGTGTGTGTGTACACATTTTGTATATGACAAGAATATATAATAAAACACTGAAAAATATCCAAATAAATTTTTTTTTAAAAAAGTAAGAGGAAAAAAATGTTTGGTTTCCATTTTGTTAAATTTCTCTCTCTTTTCTTAATTTGGCTGTTTTGCCTGCTCACTCACAGAAAGAACCTTTTTGTTTTCTCTTTCAGCTTCATGTATTCCTGTCTGTTGATGATCCCAGTGAGGTAGATAAACTTTCCTTCATGTTGTCTTCCATGTTGATGTCACATGGAGTCAATGTTCGCTGCCGGGCCCTTCAAGTTTTAGATGATTACACCAAAAAAGTAATGAAGGAGAATTTGTAGTAACTTCAATAAAGGTCCTTTTTGTTTTTATACAATCACTCATTCCTACTCTTTGATACTTTTTGCCTTTCTCCTGTTATGAGAATCACCAATATGGCCACCTCCACTTTTTTTTTTCTTTGTAAGAGACAATCTGAAACTTTACATATTCATGTATATTATGTTCATTAAATTTTTAAGAAGAAATTGCATCAGTCTAGGTCTATGGGTGACACTCTTGATTCCAGCATATTTTTTTTTTCCTCTTTTCTTTCTACACTGTCAAAGTTTCATTACATTTTACTTCTACTCCTTTCCCAACAGACAAACATTGATTTTTTTTTTTTTTTTTTTTAACCCTGTCAGCCCTGAAGTGATTTCAGTTGTTAAATCGCCAGAGTCCAGATTAAATTGTTCAGAAGAAAAAGTCTGTGATGTTAGTGCAATTAAACTGATCTACCCCCCCACAAAGCTCCATTGAAAATCAATATTGAAATATGTTATTAAAGGTGGTTGTTCAGATTAGATGTGAACACTTATATTGTAAATGCAATTTGTTAGTAATATTTGATTATATATATGGGTACTTCAACATAGTGTAATTGTTAGTAAGTGGCGCTAGATCAATTGCGAGGTGCTTCTTACTTGTGGCTTTGTACCACATCTAAGCTGCACTTAGTGAATCATATTGAGTCATCTGAAAATTGCTTGAGTGTGAAACTTGAGTTACGACTAAGCCATCCTTTCATAGGATTTAACGTTGATAAGCGTTTTTTGCTCAGTCTAGCCAATCTGGGCTTCAAGCACTTTACTGAGTAAGTAATTTTACTTTTAGGCCTTTTTTTTTTTTTTTTTTCTCTCTCTCTCTCTCTTCAGTATTGTTGTGGTTTTATTTGGTACTGTATCTCGATAAGTTTTAGATACTGACAAGTTTTTGTTTTTCTTATGTAGAAAAATAATAATTTTATATATGTAATATGGAGATACACAAATTTATAGACGCTGAAACCTTGATATAACGAGAGGAAAAGAATTTTTTTTTTTTTTAACCACCTAACTCATTCACACATCTTCATCAGAACTTGTGACAGGAATCAATTAACCCAAGGATGAAAATCATCAATGAAACACCTACATTTAAGATATATAAGCAAGAGTAATTCATATTAATAACTTTCATAGACCCAAGCAATAATGTAACTACATTTCTGGGAAACTGAGTTTCCTCTCACTTTTCCTGTATAAATTGAGTTTATTTTAATGCTAAATTGGAGAAAGGTGTATTGTGGATCAAGCATTTTGTTTTAAAGTTAACAAAATTACTTAAGTACAGGAGGGTGCTGAAAAATTCTCGGACTGACCCACTTAGTAAAATCTGGCAAAATATCAGATATTTTCTCTTGTGAAAATACTTTTCACCACTCTCTGGCAAGTTATCATTTTTATAAAGAGATTTTTTTTTTTTTTTTTTAGATGACAACTATGGAGCCAGAAGCTAGCATATTATTATTATTATTATAATATATATATATATATATATATATATATATATATATATATATATATATATATATATATATATATATATATATATATATATATATATATATATATATATATATATATATATATATATATATATATATATATATATATATATATATATATATATATATATATATATATATGTATATATATAATATATATATGTATTATAAATTAATTGATTTAAAATATGTTTTTTTTTAATGCTCTGTAAATTTACATTGAGCACTATTTTGTAAAAATAAAACATATCTATAAGAACACCGGATTATATATCTTGCTGTTCTTTCTTTTTATTTTTATATATATATATATATGCTTAATCATCAAGCAACTTAGTCATTTCTGATACCATTATATTTTACCCAGGATATTTTTGTCTTTATTTCTATTTCAACCCTTCAACTATAGATTAAATAATAGTGCAAACTAGGCTCTTCAGTCTTGGCACTTAGTATAGGAGGACAACTCCGAAATCAAAACTAGTTGGGCATGGTGCTAGCAACCCCAACCCTGTAGAGGATTGGTTCTATACTCCAGTGGGAGTTTTTGGGACTTGAGAGAGGGAACACTTCTATTTACTGTATATACTTATGTATAAGGTGACACCCGCCATTTCATGTATGAGAAATGGGCAAAAAACCAAATCTTGTGTATAAGCCAAGGCAGCTAATGAACACATTATGTTCTGATGGGACATTTTTGTAAGTTTTGACAAAAAGAGAATATTTCTTTTATAAAGTTTTGATATTTAAAATGTGTTTAAGTGTCATTTAGAGTATAGTTTTTGTTTTACAATTCCATTCCACAATAAATTTTTAACATTTCAGCTGTTTTATAAAGTTTTAACAAGTTTTTGTTTATTTCCTTTTAACAGACAACAATCTGAAGATAAGAGGATGTTATTTAACCTAAATTGAATGAAATGCGTGCCTTAAAAAATTAGAAACCATTTAACATCCTACAAGTAAATCCATTTTTGCAAAGTTATTAAAGCTATATATAAACCCAATGAATTAAAATATATTGTTCTACCACCAACTCTGTCACAATTGAAACAAATTTATCTAAGTTTAATATAAAATTTGTTAGAACTACAAAAATAATAAGACTTAATACAAAACAAAATAATAAGCTAAAATTTGGAGGAATTTACTTTGTCACAAGTAATATGTAGTAGAAATCTCAAGGAATTTAATAAAGACTAGCAGTAGAGCCCGGCATTGCCCGGGGATATAACAGTAAGAGATAGATCAAGTATCAGCCGTCATAAAGACTGAAAAATAAAATTGACAACGATTATTGTTTAAGGTTGACAGACACGCATGTTTTTTTTTTGTGTTGTTTTTTTGGTTTTTTTTTTGTTTTGTTTTTTTTTTGTTACGAATTGGTCAAACTCAAACAAAAACATTGTTTTTAATCGTTATGAGTCTACCGATTGAATAGAATTTTATTATAAACAATTGTCTTGTAAATGGAATTTTTAAAGCCTTGTAAAAATAAAGAAAAAAAGAGTACAAGACAATAAGAAACACTACCTGCTAAAAAAAATGTGAATTTTTTTTTTAAATCGGTTGAAAAATGTAGGAAACCCGATCCCAAATGAACACACACACACACACAAACAAACAACCTGGGTTTTATAATAAGTATAACTCGATATGAGTTGTCCCACTTTCATTCTCACGACAGTGATGCCTCTTAATCATGTTTTCAAATTGATTTCATGCAAAAACACTTGTGTTTTTCCCATTTTTGGCGCTGTCAGAACCACCGCAAGGTAATTTTATGTAGCCCTGTGAAGTTTTGTTGAAATCGGTTGAAAAATGTATGAAATCTGATCCAATATATAAACGTACAGACACACACAACCTAGGTTTTATAATAAGTATGATTATCTGAACACAAGGGATTTTTACAAAACATCAGTTGCTCACTAATGTGTCTCGCTATATTTTCAATTCAAAATATACTTTAATTAAAAGAGAAAGCAATTTACTCAAATGAAAATGTATAAAGTGTTTTAATCACTAGATCATCTACTGTAAACTTAAATCCAGTTCCTTACATTTCACCTTTCTTGGCAGATCTTATTACCATAAAGTAAATGAAATCTGCTAAATTATACAGCCAAAGACTTTTTTTTTTTTTTTTTAATTTAAAATTTTAGCATCCCCTCATGCATGTGTAATCTCATTAGTGTAAATATCACTTTAATCCAATGAAATCTTACACAAAAAAAAAAAAAAATTTCTATTTTTGTCTTGGATTTTTCTAACATGGTTCTGGTATATAAAAATGTATATCACTTTTTTCCATAGTGAACTAAATATCCATATATTGTAAAAGAAAATGAAAACTTGTAAAGAAATAACTGATATAAAAAAATTCACAAAATAATTAAAAACACAAATGTTTAATTCACAATATTTTCAAGTTAAAATCATAGTGTTTTGCTGTGTGTGTGTGTCTACTGTAAGAAATGATTATGGTTTTTCTTTTTACTGGTTCAATCTGACCTGCACTTTTTCAGTAATCTTAATGTACCAGCAATTAAACAGTATCAAGTTTTAGTACATCACTTGGTACCTGTATACGCCATATTTTATAAGTATGTTTAACTTCTGAGATAAATATGCACTAACTGAGCCTCTGTATAAACACAGATTGATTGAAACATTTAATAAATGAAAATTAATTAGGGAATTGACCACTCACATGCTGGGAGAAATTAAATGAACTGTAAGTACTAAAAAATATTCTGTGAAATGCTTCTAAAATCTAAGTAAAATGATGTTTCCTTGTAAAGCTATTACTTTATGTAGTTTTTTTTTGTTTTTTTTGTTTTTTTTTTTTTTTTTTTACATCAATGTGGATGAAAATCAAATATTTGCCTACCTACCCTCCCACCATTTATCAGGTTTTTTTTTTTTTTTTTTTTTTCAAAGAGTACTGAAGTGGAAAAAAAAAGTCTAACATTTCTTACATATTTATGTGCTATGTGAGAGCCTTGACAACAGTTGTCACTTGGCCAACCTCATATTGTTAACATGGTTGTCTCCCTTCATACATGTCTTTCAATGTTTCGGTATCACAATTCCTCTAATTCTTTGTGTTTGGTTTGAAAGAGATGTATTGCATTGACCTCTGAAAGCTACCAGTTGTTCTTCCACATACAGATCACAACCTGAGATATAATTAATTGGGCTACACTCTCCAAATATCTGGTTGCTTGATTGTTAAAACAGCAAACATGGCCCTTCATATCCACAAAAATAAATGGTGTTTCAAAAGGATGGTTTTTCCATTGACACTGCTATTTTAACTATGTTTACTGTCTATAAAAGATTATTTACCTCTTTATAAAGATATAAATGTGAAAAATCTTTCTATTAAAAAAAAAAAATTATTTCCATATTTCTTTATAAATTGATAAATGATAAACATTGGTTTGTATTCACATTTTAAGAATGTTG